TTTCAGACTTCTGTTTCTTTCAGCTATGAGGGTGCCACTGTCATTGACCCGTTGCGTGGGTTTTACAATGAGCCGATTGCTACTCTTGATTTTGCTTCTCTGTATCCTTCTATAATGATTGCTCACAATCTCTGCTACACCACATTGCTGAAGAAACCAGAAGGAGAAGAAGGAAAGGTTTGTAAAAATCAGCATTTTGCTCCTTTTTGATTTTTCGTTTATTTTTTGTGAAGGTTAATGTTTCGCGCGGTGTATCGTGCATTTTTTGATATCCTTGAAATGGCTGTGTGTTTAGGATTACATCAAAACGCCCACGGGTAACTACTTTGCCACCAAAGAGCGACGTCGTGGTTTACTTCCGGTGATTCTAGAAGACTTGCTTGCTGCAAGGTGAGAGTGAAATGTTGACGCCGCGTAACTACACTGTAACTTCTAGAAAACGCGCGAAAAATGAGATGAAGCACGAGAAAGACGAGTTCAGAAAAATGGTGCTGAATGGTAGACAACTGGCTTTGAAGGTTAGCTCCGTTTCGACCTCGTGAAACCAGTTCTATCAATAAAAAATGAGAGGGTTTGAAATCTTCACTGCAGATTTCTGCCAATTCCGTTTACGGATTTACTGGTGCTACGGTTGGAAAATTGCCATGTTTGGAGATCTCGCAATCAGTGACAGCATTTGGAAGGCAAATGATCGATTTGACCAAAAACGAGGTTGAAAAGCGTTATGTGGCAGGAGCTTTGGATGGAAAATGTCCAGCTAATGCGCAGGTATCTCATTCTTTTTCTGAGATAATCTTCTTTGTTTTTGTGCAATCTTTTGATGTTTATTTTTTCAGGTTGTTTATGGAGACACCGATTCAGTTATGGTAAAGTTTGGCGTGAAAACGGTAGCTGAAGCTATGGAAATAGGCTTGCACGCCGCCACCGAAGTCAGCAAGATCTTCACGCCACCTATCAAGCTTGAATTTGAAAAAGTTGGTCAGCGTTTGAATTGCTCGTTGGATTTTGTACGTCTTCGTCTCTAAAAAAATCGCATTTCAGGTGTATTTCCCATATTTGCTCATTAACAAAAAGAGATATGCTGG